ATCATTGTCTCTCTTCACCAACATTTCTGTTATTTGTCCTCCTGAGTAGTGGGCTATATATCAAACCTTGCGGGTTCCCCCCTTTTCCCCTCCCACCCCCCCTGCTGCCTTCCCCTCACTCCCCTACCTTCATGATATTCCTACTCCTACTACTGTCCCTGAGGGTTTTATCTGCCCTGAGTTCCATGCGCTAAGAGCACTTATCTGTACCATCGCATGTACTCTGGTCTAGCTGGGTTTGTAAGGTAGAACTGGGTCATGGTAATGGTGGGCGTAGGAAGCATTCAGGAACTAGAGGAATGATGTGTGCTTTGTTGGTGCTATACTGCACCCTGGTTGAATTGCCCCTTCCTTGTAACTCTTCTATGGGGGTATGTCCAATTGTCTACAGATGGTCTTTGGGTCTTCACTCCAACCCCCTGATTCACATCGATATAATTGTTTGTTTTGGATCTTTTGATATATGATCCCGTCGACACCTCATGATCACACAGGCTGATGTGCTTCTTCTATGTGGGCTCATTTGCTTCCCTTCTAGATGGCTGTTTCTTTAACTTCACGCCTTTAAGACCCTAGATCAGGGTTCCTCAAACTTTTTAAACAGGGGCCCAGTTCACTGTCCCTCAGACCTGTTGGAGGGCCAGATTATAGTGTAAAAAAAACTATGAACAAATTCCTATGCACACTGCACATATCTTATTTTGAAGTAAAAAAACAAATGGTGCACAAACACCCGGCGGGCCAGATAAATGTCCTCTGCAGGCTGCATGTGGCCCGTGGGCCGTAGTTTGAGGACACCTGCCCTAGATGGTATATATTTTGATAGCCAGGCACCACTTACTTTCTTTACCACATTTGCTAATGCACCCATTTTGTCTTTAGTGATCATGTCAGGAAGGTGAGTATCAAAGAGTGCCAGGTTATTAGAGTAAAGTGTTACTGTGTTTAGGCGGCCTTGAGTAGAGGCCCCAAGTCCATAGGCTATCTTAGTACTTAACATATAAATATATGTACATTGGCCTCTATCCCTTTCATTATAAGTTAATATATTTACACATATACATGTCTGTAGCTACACCACTATAAATAGCCTTTGCTTCCTACTTCTTTTCTCTTATTTCCTTTCACCTTTCTCCTGTCCCACTTGAGTTGAATTCTGCCTGGAATTTACCTTTGAAGTCTTCTTGACCTTCCTTAAAATTTCGGGTCCGTCTAATAATTGTAACTTTATGTGGGACAGCATTCCCATAAGCTTGTTGTAACGCTTCAGTGATTTGTGAATGTGTACACTTGAATTTTGTTAAAAATTTGGTGTTAGTTCTGACCACAAAATCATTTTTCCATGGCATAAAAAGCATCCTTTTTTCTGAAGACACCCTAATGAGCCCAAGTGAAAAGAACATTCCTGGGAGGGTCTTTACTGCTGTGCAGTGGGTGGACAGAATCAACCTAGGTGTCTTGGGATATTCCAGGAACCCAGGCTATGGCCATGGAATGCTAGGACACTGAATCCTGGAACTTTGGGGCACATGGCATGCTCTGGAGGCTGCATTGATGAGATCCCATATGGGAACTCTACTGCGTTAATTGGACTCTGCCTCAGACACACTTGTAACTGAGGACATAAGCTGGAAAATACAAGGTGTCTGAGGAAGCAGAAGACAGCTGTACCAAGAGTGGTATATTGTTGCTTGGCAGACATACAAGGTCTTGCTACATCAACACACCCAGTATGCAGAATTAAGGTACGTATTATTCTGGTAACCCTGTGATGGTCATTCTGTTATATTTTACTTATGCTTATTCATATTAGGTTGTATCTCAGGGGTGCATCGCCATTGGGGGTTACCCTCTTGAAGCTGTGTTATTTGTTTCTCTGTTTTTTGGTAAATGAAACCCAGGGACATTGAGCCTATAGGAAAAGCAAATATAACCAAGGTTTTGGGGGATGGAGGGGCACAGAAGGGTGGGTGAGATAAGAGGTAGATGATGTTAAGAAGTCCCAGAAGGAATAGCATGTTTGGAGACTGATTATGGAAGCAATTGTATAATTCTGTTTGACATGATTGAACTATGGAATGATATGTAACTCCCAAGTTACAGCAAATGAAACAAACAAACACTAAAACAAAACAACAAAAAACCCCACATAGATCCAGGAATAGGTTTTGAGCTCATACTAAATCCTATCTCCAAGTTAAGAACAATGAGTTCTTGCATCATGGCCGTTGCTCGATACTCACCCCAGGAAGGGGACACAGAAGATACTGGTGCTATAGCAAAATGTAGCGAAGAATTTAGATGGTGCCTGGATGTGTGGGGTCTTAAAGACTTGTTTCCAAACAAACAACCATCTAAATGAGATGTCAACTAAGTCCACATGGAAGAAGCACACCATTATCAGTCAAAGAAGGATTGGAATTCATATAATCTGAAGTCAAAGGAGGGATCAGTATCAGGGCTTAGATCGTGAGAATCCCGTGTGCAGAAGGTGATGGGTGACAGTGGAAGCCCAAGATTCATTTGTGCAACTATTAGGAACTAACCCTCCAGAGAACTCCCCATATGTAAAATTGAAGGAAGAGAGGAAAGTGGTCACTAAATATAGTGCTTGGGAGAGAGGAGTAAAGAAGAGCAAAGGCATAAATCTGACTTGAACAGTTGAAACTTTGTCAGTAGATCTTCCTATGATATGGGCTGGTTCCAATCTGGTTTCCAAAATTTTCTGTGTTTTTGGTTTGTATTATTTTCTTTGGTTTTTGTTTGTTCATAATACAGTATCTCAAAGGCGCTATGTGATTGGAGGTCACCCTCTTGAAACTGCATTATATGCTTGCGGTTTTTTTTTTTTATATGAAACCTAGGATTGATGAACCTAGAAGGACAGCAAGTAAGGGGTTTGGGGGAAAGGAGGGGGAGGTACAGCAATAGTGGTGGGGTAAAAGGGAGGCGATATCAAGGAGTCCAGGTACAAAAAGAATGTTTGGAAACTGATTGTGGTAGCAATTGTACATTCTACTTGATGTGATTGAAATTTGGAATGATATGTATTAAATTCCAACTAATAACTTAAAAAATGTATTTCTGAGAGAACTTGTTAGAGCCATGCACTGATTGCAGAGTCATGTTTAAATCTGTTTTGGAATAAACCTGTGTATGTATGAACTGCACCCTACCAGTAATAATTTTTATTCACCCTTTTATCTGCCTCATCAATGTAGCAAAGATAACCCATTTACAAATGGGGTGTAACTAGAAGCAGATTATCAGGGCTTATCAAGTGGGTTGGAACGATAACAGAGTGAAACACTGCTGGCTCTACGCCATCTCCACAGAAGTTGCTGTGTGAGCCCACTGTGCAGCCATTGTGTCCATTGTCTTCTTTTTGTGTGACTGTTAAACACGACACCCTTTTCCTGGTAATAATCCAAAGTATGCTAGAGGCAGTCTTGAAACTCTAGCTTCTAATGGGATTTCTGGCTGCATTTATTCCAAGACAGATTTGTTTATTTTTACAGATTTCATTATAACCTTTGTTCACTTCTTTTATGTCATTATTTCTCCATTCAGAGCCTTTTATGACACACATTCTAGTCTTTTCTTCTTATTTTTGTTTTCAGTGATCTTTTCCTTTTTATTTATAATGTCCTGATGTCATTCCAGAATTTGTCTGGTCCTTGGTCATTCGTGTTTATTGCATTAAATCTGTTGTTCTTCAGATGGTGTCTCGATTCTGATGGGATATACTCAAGGTTATATATTGTTTCTCATGGATTTATCTAAATTTTCTTCACTAAAACTTGAATTAGTTGTATGCTTTTGAATTAATTCTCATTCTTAATGACCTTGTATGATGGAATAGAACTACTCTATGGGGTGTCCTACTGTGTAATCTTTATGGAAACAAATAGCCAGGTCTGCTGGGGGACTTGAACTGCTGGCCTTTCATTTAGCAGCTGAGTGCTTAACTACTGCACCACCAATGATCTTTAATCTTTTCTATTATATGATTTAATTAGCGGTCAAGTGCCCATCATATATCATCTTGTATTCGGAAACTGGTTTTTCCCTTTTCCCCTTCTCCGCTATATAAACAAATCTCTGCCTATAGGCATGACCTTTTCTGTAGCTATGGAATTATTACATGATACTGAAATTTTATCTTTGGCTAAAATTGTCCTATTTGGGGAGAAATGAATTTTATTTTGATGAGTTCTAAGCTTAATGACAGGAAAGTGAGAAATGAAACTAAGCAAGTCTGATAAAGAATATTCACTTGTTTAATATATAAAGCAAGTTAAGATTTAACTAATATTAGATGTTGCGGCAATTGTTTGCTGGTATTTTAGTTGTTGCAATTAAAGAATAGTCTAGTTCTCTCCATTTGAACCTTTGCTTGTGATCTTTGGAGTGGTTACCAGCTGCTTAATGGCTGTGATGACCTTTGCTTGGCTAATGTGCATGTCAGTTTTAGAATTTATCTTAGAAATGACAATTTGCCTGTCACCTGCAGAGTTAAGTGGTGTAATGGCAGCTGAACAGTGAGATAGAGGGAATTAGAGGGGGGATGATTGGAGTTGAACACTATTAAGTGCTAATTTACTCATATACAGAATATGTTTCTATTTGAGATAATGAAAACATTTGTTCAAAATGTGTAGTTGAATACATTTTGTTTGTTTTTATTCAAACACAGTCTTTTAATCTCGGTGTGTGAGCTGTTGCACAATGATGTAAAAAGGAAAAGTGATGTTGGTGCTGAGTACTTTCAGGTTTAGAGTTTATTAATCTCTCTTATTTACTAGAGCCCTACTGTAATGGTTGATTTAGTATACAGAATTAAAAGCTTTTGCTTTTTACTTGTAATAAGACACTCAGGATATTTGTCTGCTTGTTGGCAAGTGGACACCAATGTGTTTCCTTTAAATGCCATGAATTGCAGTGTATGCTTATTTACATATGTTAAATATTTCAAATGCATTTCTCTTTCCACAGCATGTAGAGCCTACGAAGTGTGGGAAAATAAAGCTTCCTACTCATGCCATCAGGAGAATCTCTTTGAAAGCTTCACCACAGGACTACCAGAGACAAATTGGAAGCATCATGTATTGAAAGCACCAAGAAGCTATCACCTTTACACTAGTTAGAAACACAGTTATGATGTCGTCAATTCTTTGAGCTCCAGAAGCCAGGAGAGTGAGTGGAAAATCTGAAAATGCGGCCATGGACTGGTTCTTGGCGTTGGATTATGCTCATTTTATTTGCGTGGGGAACATTGCTATTTTACATAGGTGGTCACTTGGTACGAGATAATGACCACCCTGATCACTCTAGCCGAGAACTGTCCAAGATTCTGGCAAAGCTTGAACGCTTAAAACAGCAGAATGAAGACTTGAGGCGAATGGCTGAATCTCTTCGGTAGGTTCTGTAAAACTGGATAAGTATTGAAAAATTGTTCATAAGTTTTAGGCATGAGGTTTATTTAGTTATTGAAAGCTGCTATAATTTTTATAAATTGCTAGAGCTCTGAAATAATTTCTTTATCTTAGTAGGATACTTTTATATTGGTGCTGTTTTTTTATTTAATATGCAGAATTTTTCCATAGAGGTAAAACCTATTTTGCATATGAATTTTAATATATGAAACATGTCATTTAATTCATGTGCTTCTGTTTCATTTGCAGTTCTCTTCGTTCTGACAATTGTGATACATTCAATAAGTGTTTTATTTAAATTAGTGTGTATAGCAAAGACAACATAGTAATGAAGAAATGAAGGTAGCTTAACTATAATTTATTAAAATGAAGAAACAAAAATTATCTTTAAACAAAACAACTGGGTCTGGAATCTGCTCAATTATTGTTTTTGCTAGTTCTAGGTCAGTATTAAGGAAATGTGACATGCTGTTAAAGTCCTCAACGGTGGAAAAGAGGTCTTGCTTCAGGAAGCCAGTGAACATTGTGTTATGTAGATCTCTATGTTATTTACCCCAGAGCTACTGACGTTTAAAGGTTACTTAGTTTCCTAACCAAATTGAATCTGTGCAAGCACATTTAGTTTTTAGTACATTCTTTTGTAAAAAGTAAGATGTATACTAGAGTAGTTCTTTTATTTCATATTTAATATATTATATGTAGGCTTCAGTTTTGCAATTGGCTAGGGCCCACACTCTATGACACCTAGAACAGTGACCGTATGGGAAAGAAACAGACAGCCACATCTTTTTTCCTCTGAGCCAGCAAGTGACCTTGTCGTTAATATGTGAGCATCTTAACCACTGAGTGCTTCTACTAGCACATGACTAGGGCTTCTTCATATAGTAGTAGAGCATTCTGACAATATTTGGTTTTGAATGAGTGGGGTGAATAAATTGGCTGCTCACTATTTGAAAAAGTATTTCTCTTTAAAAAAATTGAGCAAGTAGTTATCTTTTAATTCCTCTACTTAATATATGAAGGGGAAATCATATTTAGTTCTTTCTGTCTTTCAGAAAGTAGCCCTGGTGGTATGGTGGCTTACGAATTGGGCTGCGACCCACCTGTATTTCGAAACCACTAGCCATTCCACAGGAGAAAGCTGAGAAAGAGAAAGGCTTTCTCTTCCCATGAGACGTATAGCCTTGGAAACCCACAGGGCAATTCTAGTCTGTTTTATAGTGTGGTTGCGAATAGAAATCCACTCATTGCCAGTGAACTTGTTTGTTTTGCAGTTTTATCTCTGAAGATAAAGATTACAGCTAGAAATGAAAATTATAGAGGGAATAATGGACTTTATGGGAACTAGCGTAGAGACGAATCTGAACGCTGATTTAATTTTGAAAAACAAGTTCAATAGTGAACAGTGGAAAACATCCAGTTGTTCAGAGGAAGCTTGCAGAGTAACTCTAGTGTGGAAGCTGAGGATCATTCTATGAATCAAGAAGATAATTGGCAGTGTCATATTCCCCTGAGGCTTCAGAGTGGGTGCCTGCGTTCCTCCTGTTTTTCTCAGCTCCCCACTTCCTGCCTTTTACTACTACTTTAGAATTCAGCCTTCCCTCCTTTTTTTAGTTATATAACTTTTTTCTTCATCATCATCATAATTTTGACCTTTTTTACTCGTTGAAAAGTTACAACAAAAACGAATGGAACATCGTTCTTGTTTTTAAAAGGCAATAGTACCATTCAGCAGAGTAAGAAGTGGTAGGGTCAGGAAAGTGGGACAGGTAACATCCTGAACTTACATGTAACTTTATTTTCTGTTGGGGGAAATCAGGGAAAATCATAGAAGAGATATTTCATTTTTTATGAAACCAAAGCTTGGTAATTTAAGTCTTAGGAATAGTAGTGATTTTGGCCAGTGGTGGTTTAGTGATAGAATTCTCATCATCCATGTTGGAGGTGCAGGTAAAATACCTGGCCAGTGCAGCACATGCACAGGTGTCACCTGTCCATCTGCGGAGGCTTGTATGCTGCTGTAGTTGTGAACAGATTTCAGATGAAGACAGATTAAGACAGTCAAGGATGCAAGATTAGATGATGTGCTTCTGAAAATCTACCAATGGATTTTCAATAGTACTGTCCACGACTGGTCATGGGGTTGGTACAGACCAGCCACTGTTTTGTTCTCTTGTGCTGAGGCTTGCTGTGTGTCGGTTCCATGGCAGCTCACAGCAACAGCTATCATGTATTGAGAGTTTATACTATGCCAGGTATTGTACCAATGAGTACATGACTTATCTCATTAAGTTCCTCAACTTATGAGTTATTACTACTATTTTCATAACCATTTTGTAGATGAGGAATCTGAAGAGATACTAAGTCACTTAATTTACCCAAGGTCACACTTTTCTAAGGTCACACTTTTTCTATGCTTTTAGTCCTAGACATGAGACTCCAAACCTTGAGGTCTTAGGAACTATCTTTCCCCATGGAGTAGAAGTGAGAGGGAATCAAGACCCAGCCTAACATAGATGGGTTCAAACTACCAACCTTTGGGTGACCAGCTGAGTGAAAACTGTTGGCACCACCCAGGGTCCATGAGAAATGAATTTTAAATCATTTCCCTAAAATTATAACAGTCAGCAAAGCTAACAAATTGCTGAAAGTTGGTTGACTATTTTTAATCCACTGTTTTAAATCTTTAAAAAGTTGTAGTTTACGGTTTGCTGTCCAACTCCAATCCATATGTCTTATCTCAAAAAGTTTTTCTGAGCACTGACTATCAATCTGTTTCACTTTTACAAATATATGAATTAATTTGTTCTAATCTGGCATTTATGAACACATTTTCTTATAGGAATGTTGTAAATTGGGTACAAAATATGAGTAAATGATAAAAGAGAAAGATGATACCAATCCTCATAGTACTTTCCTTTTATGCCAGGGGCTCCAAAATGAGTGGCTTGGCATGAAACACAAAGAGCCCCACCAGTAAAGTCAATGACATGGTCTAAGATTTTCTCCCCTAATGTGTAAAGATAACTACTTATATTCCTGAAATTATATACCCATATTAAAAAAATGGGCTCATATGATGAGTCGCTGTTTTTACATTTTATTTCCTTACTCCAGCAAAATATATAAAATTCTTGTTCTTAGAAAGTAATCTCTACAGTTGAAGGAAATAGTTGAGAATTTCATTTCAACCTGGAGAAATATTTAAAAAGCGACTTAATAGAACCAAAAACATTTTTGCAGAAGAAAGCAGCACATTTTAACCACAAGTTTTCCTTCATACAGTAAAAGCATAATACTTGGCAGTCGAAAGTAAGCTAGTTGAAATATCCGTATTGTTCTGGAAATAAGAGGACACAGGGCAATAATTTATGAACCCAAACTATTAAGAGGCAAAGTCATCTTTAAGGAGCAAAACTCCTATGCATAGAACACAATTTTACCACAATCAAAGCATACTTTAAAAATACACTTGTGCAGCAGTTAACTCTTTTTGAAATGAAGCAAGTAGCTGCCTTCTAATTTCCCATGAGACTTTTAGGAACTAGAGCAATGTGTGATTCGTCGGTGCTACTGCACCTTGGTTGAATCATCTCTTCTATATACCACTTCTGTGAGTTGTTTGTTTTCTTACTACTGATTTTTAAGAATATTTCTGTATTAGCTAGGTACACATCTTTTATCAATATGTGTTTGCTGATATTTCCCTGCAAGCGGTTTCTTGTCTTCTTTCTGTTACAGAATATCTTTTGAAGTACAGATACTTGTGACTTTGAGAAAACTCCTTTTATGGATTTTTAAAAAGTAGATTGTGCTTTTGGTGTAGTATCTTTGCCTAACCCAAGGTCATGACATTTTTTTCCTGCTGGGTTTGTGATTGAGACTGTGTTAAATCTGTAGATTTATTTGGGAAGAAATTGACATCTTCACAAAATTGAGTCTTATAATTCATGTATACAGCCTATATCTTCATTTAGTTATTAGGTTTTTAATTTTTTTATGAGTATTTTATAATTTTCAGTAGTCACATAATTTACTTTTCAGATTTATTCCTCAGTATTTTATATGTTTTAAATAAATATTTTGGGAGTTGTTTTAATAACAGTATTATTCTCTTTGAAATAAAAAAATACACATCCAAATACTTTCCTTAATTGCTTTATTATAACTTTATTTCTAATTCATAGTAGAATTTCCTTGTAGGATTTCCTAGGCTGTAATCTTCATGAGGAGCAGGACATTGAAGCAGCTGTGGGCTTAGAGCGCTGACCTTTTGGTTAGCAGCCTAGTGCTTATCCATGGCACCAAGGGAGTTCTTAGATGACTAGTACTTAGACAACTAGTCATGGCACCAAGGGAGTACTTAGATGACTAAAACTTAGACAACTAGTCATGGCACCAAGGGGGTACTTAGACGACTAGTACTTAGACAACTAGTCATGGCACCGAGCGAGTACTTAGAAGACTAGTACTTAGACAACTAGTCATGGCACCGAGGGAGTACTTAGACGACTAGTACTTAGACAGCTAGTCATGGCACCGAGGGAGTACTTAGACGACTAGTACTTAGACAGCTAGTCATGGCACCGAGGGAGTACTTAGACGACTGCTAGTCTCCTCTCTGCCCCTGTGGAGTTTTCTATCCTGGATCGTTCATATAAATAGAACCATATAGCATATGGTCTTTGATTAGTTTGGCCCCTATGAGTCAGAATTGACTTGATGGCAGTGGGTTTGTTGTCCTTTTAGTTAGCATTTAGCATTATGTTTTCAAGGTTTACTCATGTTCTAGTATGTATCAATACCTCATTTCTTTTATAGGCAAATAATATTTCACTACATATATATGTATATAATGTTTATTTATCCATTCTTAATTGAGCAACCCTTGGGTTGTTTTGAGCTTTTGACTATGAATAAAACTGCTATACATTGTTGCATCTTATGGTAACTCTATGTTTAAACATTTGAAAAACTTCCAGA